AGGAATGGGGATTTTGCAGTATCCTTCCCATGGAGTGGGGAGGGAATGAGGATTTTGCAGTATCCTTCCCCTGGAGTGGGGAAGGAATGGGGATTTTGCAGTATCCTTCCCATGGAGTGGGGAGGGAATGAGGATTTTGCAGTATCCTTCCCCTTCCACGCCCACCAAGCCATGTTCACAGAATTGGTAGTAAAAAACAAATTGAATCCCACCACTGCTACACTCATCCCTGATTGCAAACCACAGTGGCTGGGCTCATAATGTACAGGTAGTCCTAGACCTTCAACAGTTCATTTAGTGACCGATCAAAGTTACAACAACACTGAAAAAAATGACCTATGACTGTTTTTTCAGGCTAATGATCATTGCAGCATCTACATAATCAGGTGATCAAACATCATAGGTATGGCAGCCGATTCATGTATATGATGGTTGCTGAGTCCCGGGGCCACGCGATCCCCTTTTCTGACTAGCACTGTCAATGGGGACGGCAGACTCACTTAACGACCATGTTACTAACTTAAGAACTGCAGTGATTCACTTAACAACTGTGGCAAGGAAGGATGTAAAATGGGGCAAAATTCACTTGGCAACCCCTCCCAAAGATGCTTTTTGTTTGCAAGAGGCAACTGGACTTTCTGGCTTTTCTTTGAAGATGTTTCTTTTGTCATCCAAGAAGCTTCTTCGGAGTTGAAGAAGCTCCTTGGATGAGAAGAGCAACGTCTTCGAAGAAAGTCCAGTTGAAAAAAGCACTTTTGGGACAAACTTGATCAGGATGATTGAGAATCTCCAGAGTCCCTTAACAACAGAAATGTTGGGCTCGCTGGTGGTTGTAAGTGGAGGAACCCCTGTACCCATCCATTATTTAATTTATACCTTAAGAATCCTTCCAATAAATTGAAATCCATGTCAGGTTTTTCTCTAACGTAGGAAATTGTTCTAGACGTTGAAGCTGATCCTGATTCATTGAAGGGGTGGGATAGATGACCTTCCCATGTTGTTGCTTTTCAGAAGGCCGGCGGTTTATCTCAGAGGAGAGCCAGCAAAAGGCTTTGTATGACCGGTTGATGCAAGGTAAGAGGGCTTGTGGATGGGGAATGATCCCCCTTTATCCAAAGGTAAGCTTGCTGTTCCCCAGCTTGACTTCTTCCAGCTGCATTGGGACTTCAACTCCCGGAATTCCCAGACCAGACCAAGGACTCTGAAGGACTAGGGGAGACATGATAGCAGTCTTCCAATATCTCAGGGGTTGCCACAAAGAAGAGGGAGTAAAACTATTCTCCAAGGCACTTGAGGGTACAACAAGAAGCAATGGGTGGAAACTAATCAAGGAGAGAAGCAACTTAGAACCGAGGAGAAATTTCCTGACAGTTAGAACAATTCATCAATGGAACAACTTGCCTCCAGAGGTTGTGAATGCCCCAACACTGGAAGTCTTTAAGATGATGTTGGATAGCCATTCGTCTGAAACAATATAGGTTTTCCTGCCCGGCAAGGGGTTGGACTCCTTTCAACTCTACTATTGTATTGTAAGTATTGGATAAGGTTTTTCAAGAAGAGATTGGACAGCCATTTGTCTGAAATGGTATAAGGCCGTGATGGCAAACTTATGGCATGGGTGCCAGAGGTGCCACGCAGGGCCCTCTCCGCTGGCATGCACGCCATTGCCCCAAGTCAGATCTCCGTGGCGTATCTTTCGTGAGCTTCTGTTTTCCTGCAAACGACGAAACAGAAGCTTATGAAAGAAAGAGATCTTAGCTCTTGCTGCGTTGCTGGTGATGGGATGCCCCTCTGCTGCGCATGCGCACGACCATGCATGTCCATGCATGCATGCATGCGTGCACATGTCCGTGCACACATCTTTCAGTTTGGACATGCACCCACACACAGTTTTCTAAAAGGTTTGCCATCACTGGTTATAAGGGTTTCAGAAAATAGAATAAGAGAGTTGGAGGGGACCTTGGAGGTCTTCTAGTCCAACCCCCCCAAGGATTCTGACATCGGCATTCATTAGTAGCAATGACGATATTGCTCTAATGTTACAATACAATAGCAGAGATGGAAGGGACCTTGGAGGTCTTCTAGTCCAACCCTCCCAAGGATTCTGACATATACATTTCTGTCTTGAAATAGACTCATCGGCATTCATTATTAGCAATGACGATATTGCTCTAATGTTACAATACAATACAATAGCAGAGTTGGAAGGGACCTTGGAGGTCTTCTAGTCCAACCCCCTGCCTAGGCAGGAAACCCTATACCGTTCCAGACAAATGATTATCCAACATCTTCTTAAAAACATCCAATGTTAGGGCATTCACAACTTCTGGAGGCAACTTCTGTTCCACTGATTAATTGTTCTAACTGTCAGGAAGTTTCTCCTCGGTTCTAAGTTGCTTCTCTCCTTGATTAGTTTCCACCCATTGCTTCTTGTCCTACCCTCAGGTACTTTG